AAAAAAAAAAAAAAAAAAAAAAAAAAAAAAAAAACCGAAAAAGGAAAAGACGTTTCTTGAGGATCTTTTCGAAAAATGACAAATTTTGTTGCAATTGATGATGTAGGGACATTTATGCAAAATCTCTTAAATTTATTTGCTCTACTAACATTAATTGTACTTAAGTCCCTCAACCTTTGCTCAATGATCACTTAGTCCTTAACTTATTTTTCATCTAATTCTTATAGTTACATCTAGTCCTTGATGATTGCCTATATCTAAACAATCTGTTTGCGTAATTTGAAATGAGAGAAAAAAAAATGTTGTATTTTTGTAATTATTGCTTTTTTCTTTTTACTTTTTTATTTATTTATTTATTTATTTTTTTAAAAATTCAGTGACTGATGAACTTTTGGACGAAATTCATCATTTGAGATTAGCATGCTGCATGTAATTAAATGTTTAAGACAAGAATGCAATATGAAAAAAATTAGGAATATAACTGTTGAATGAAAGAAGAAGATTGATGATCTCAGGTGTAATTAGATCGTTGATTCAGAATTTGCATGATAAAATTCACGAAATGCAACGCACCTCCAAACTTTACATTGTTACCATTTTATCTATGGAGTATTATTCTTAATTAATTCCCCGCCGTTATGCTTGTCAAATGGCATCTGGAGAGAGAAAAAGAGAGAGTATTTCGGTTTCTTTGTGAGAATAAATGGAATTGAAATCCTTAATTTTCAAGAATTGTACAACAATCGGAGGGGGGGAGAAAGTGGGCCCCCCTTGTCTGATAGTTAAATTTGTCTACCTGTAGACCAACATTGTTTGTGGGAAATGAATTTATGAAAACGACATCCCGATGCTCTAAAAACATATGTACGTTACTTTTTCTTCTTTTGATATATACACACATATATATAGCATCAATGCGTAATGCGTTTTATGTTTACCATTATTTTTTATTCTGGATTTTCAGTTTAAGGTTTCTTCTACCGTTTTTTTTTTGCAGTAATTCAAATATTTAATGTTTGATGGCTAATTGAATTTAATGGAACTTAAATGATAGTGGAATTATTCGTCTTTTTCGTCCAGTTGTTTCCGTGGCTTATTGAGAGGTGAAAATGAAATGCTTGAATATTGATTTGAACTTAGGCCTGATTCTGGTGCTTCTTCTATCTGGTAATTTTCTTTGCTCTGTTAAAAGAAAGTTCCTTAGTGTTTTTCTGTAAGAAATTTAATTTTTTATTTTTTGTGGTTAAATAAGGAAAGCGTTCTGGCTCGGCACTAATCAGTAACCAGTCACCTTTTAACATACTTTTTCCACTGATTACCGTATTTTGTTTGTATTGCTTCTACAAGGAACGAGCTGTATTTTGGATTGACATTTTTAGTTAAGGAGAATGTTGGGATTTTTAAAATAATAGTTGATCTATTTTTACTTTTACCAGTTCCTATCATCATAAAGGCATCTTTAGCCGAGGATGGCTTTAAGGAGTGCGAACATGCTGTCAAGCATTGGGCATCATCATCTCTCAATTCTGAAGTTAAAAATGACAATCATTTATTACGGGACTTGCTCTTTTTCCTTCACATACCTCGAACAGGAGGACGTACATATTACCAATGGTAACTTTCTATCGATATTATTGGTACAGAATTCCTAGGCCATCTTGGGCCTACCTCATAAAAGAAAGAAGAAAGGATGATTATCATTCTCAATTTTAATTTATTAAATGATAAATGCAGACGCCTTATTCTCATGCTTAGAATCTTTGTATGTAGTTTCTTGACGAAGCTGTACTTACACTCACAGCACTGTTCGCGCTCTTATGATAAGTTACGGGTGGATCCAAGGTAATTCTGGACATCATTGTTAGAACATGCGAAGTATTTTGTCTCTATTAGTTTGATGAAATCTTCAATCGGCCGATCACTTTGTTCTTACACACAAACACTCCTTCGGAAAAAAATTAAGGCCACCTTTGCGATTGTGAGGAGTACTGGTAACCAAGATCAATTATTTTGAACTTGTCATAAAATCAGAATTCATTACTTGTCTGTTTTTGTGAGAATGAAGAGCTTGCGAAGCTGGAAATAAATGGGCATTATCACATGTTGGAGAATCCAAAACACTTAATCTAATATACCTTGATCATCTATTGCGGATTCGTTCTCAAGTTATTTGATTTGTGCTTGTGAGGACAAAATGAGTGTTTGACAACTTGTTTAGAAAACGGTGAGGCTTGGGATGGAATATTTATTGCATAAAGATGCTATGAGACTTCGCGCGTTGAAGTTAAGAAAGACAATTTAGAATGATTGTCTCCCGATGATTTGATTGTTATTGCTGGTCCAAGCTGTAACGCTTTTTAATATAAACATTTTCTGAGACATGTTTGCTTTTTGTTTTTGCTTAATGGTGAAAATTAATAACATTTGCCGATGTCCTTTGCTTTAAACAGACTATCTTAAGACATGCTACAGTTGGACAAAATGGAAAAATGTTGCTAACTTTTTAGGATCATTGTGATTATTCTTGTATTCGTAACATGTAATTTATTGTATTCTACTTCTGTAGTTTCTTTATCAATATGTCTAAGATGTGAATTTTGTTGAAATTCACAGAAATCCAAACTGTCGATTATTAAGTACTCATGATGACTATAGCATCATGTATAAACTTCCCAAGGAGAAAACTTCAGCAGTGACAATACTTAGAAACCCTGTTGAACGTGTCTTTAGCGCTTATGAATTTTCTGTGGAGGTGGCATCTCGGTTTCTGATGCATTCTAACTTAACTGCTGCGGAAAAAGTAGTTAGACGGCCACGCCATGAGGGGCTTGGAGTAAGCACTCTGGATATCTGGCCATGGAAATATCTGGTTCCTTGGATGATAGAAGATTTATTTGCCCGAGTACATCCTCCAACTAGAGTTTAATTGCTTCCTTTCATGCATATATTCTTTGGGCATCCTATATTATAAATTTTTCTCTGCAAATGGTACATGAAGTATTGCTGCTGTGCTTAAAACAAATTTTCACTGTTAGGATACTGGTACCTTATTCTGACTATTAGTTATCATACTTCTTTCTGACTTATATTTCTCAAACAACTAATTGAACTGATTCACACATTTTCTTGTTAAAATAGACTTGTTTTAACGTTCCTTGCTGTTTTAACACATCATTAATTAAGCCATGCAAAGTCTTCTTGCAGAGTGCTGTAGACATTTTGATAGTACAAAATGTTTGTTCAGGTTGAATTTAACCTTGACAATCTTCAAGAGAAGGTATAACAATTCAGATATTTTTTTGTCACCCTTAAGTAACGTATTTTGTCCTGTGCGTTTCATATCCATATGCTAAATCAATCCATTCCAATTGAAAAGATTATTTTGCAATCCAGTGGTAGAATTTGTTTGTTGATGATTGACATGCTTTGACTACATGATCTCTGAATAGTTCTCTCGCCATCAGTGAAGGTCCTGGTCAAAATTGAGAGTTTATTCATGAAATTCTTGGATGTTCTGTAGATTTATTAGTGTGTTGTCCTAATTGTTGTATTTGGAAATATTAAATCAATTTGCTTTTATCTGAACTTCTATTTCTTGACCGCGGTGATTCACCAATTTTTTTTATCATGGTTTTACAAAATCTTCTTGATTAGTAGTGAATTGTGAAATGCTAAAATTGATTTATTGCCTGCCTTTTTGGTTGGTCTCTGATATTGTTAAGTTTAACCTGTAATTTTTACATGGTTGGATTGCAGACCTTTTTTTGGCACCAATTTATTTCTTTTGTTTTATTTCGTTTTAGATTTCTGTAGTGGTCTCTCTGAGGTTACTTGTTATTTTAGTGCATCGAATATCTTTTGTTTAAAGTCTTCTCTACATATTTGTGGCAGAAAGATGCTAGAGAACATAGAGGACAATCTTATACAGTGATCAATAACTCCTACAATATGGAAGACATGTTTATGCCTCTACATGAATACATAAATGAACCTATTGTTCAGGACATTGTCCACAATGGAGCCACTTTCCAGGTAATGTAGTCTTAGTTAGCCTTATGTTTTTAATGTATCCATGAATGCCTACTAATACCTTTTGCATCTCAAAGATGTGGTTTTAGGATGGGAAAATTGATGCAGCGAAAGCTTAGTAATAGTAAATCACCTAGTAGATGATTATTGCTATTTATTCCGAATCTTTGCAGTGTCCGGCTCCTTGTGGAGAATGTTCAGTTGTCAAATTCTATGTTTTTTCTGTTTGTTATAAATTTCACCTATAAACTATCGAAAATATGTAACAGAAAGATTGAGCTGGTAAACTCTGCATTTTTTCCTTTACTTCTCTTATGCTGGGTCCCACCATTATTTATTATTATTTTTTTTTTGAGGAATAATTTGTAATTTATATACATTATACATACTTTTTCAGTAGGAAAAGTTTGTATCCAACATTTATATCCAATAAGAGAGAGACAGTTTGAAAATGTCATAACACCTTTGATGTAGTCTGCAATCATGGGACACTGAAAAGAGCAATTTGCCAGTATTTCTGGATTAAGGAATATTATTTATTTTGGCGATGTAAAGTTCTTCGAATTGAGTTGAAGAGGGCATTTGTGATCTTTAATGATTTTCTCAGCCTCGTTTTGATAGTTCAGAGTTTAAATGCATCTTGTTTCCTAACCGTTTCCTAATTTTCAGATTGCTGGAATCACAAACAACTCCTATTTAAAGGAATCACATGAAGTGCGCCATTGTGTACTCAAGTATCCGACCCTTGGAAAATCTGTGCTTGAAGTTGCAAAGGTAATTATGGAAGGTTCTTGTCATCATGCATGACTTTAAATTTTATATTGCTTTTCGAATGTTATTTATTCATTTGATTGTCTCATCCATGACATATTGTTCTAAATATTGCAGAAGAGGTTGGACAATATGCTGTATGTTGGACTTACCGAGAACCACAAAGAATCAGCCTCGATGTTTGCCAATGTGGTCGGTGCACAGGCGATTTCTCAGTTATCAACGTTGAGTTCTAACAGAGATGTTGCAAATAACAGCGATTCAGGTTAGCAATCAGATCAGTTTATGCACCCAATCAACTATGTGTCTCTCTGATGCAACTGATAAAAAAATAAAGAGATTCTATCTGTGATTCTTGGAAGGGAAGATTTGAGTTCTGGATGTTAAATCTTGTTTGTTAGTGATTTTAAGTACTTATAAGTTGTGGGTTCCATGAATTGTGTGGATAATGAGTAAAAGTTGTGGGTTCTATAGAAAAAATAGAATTTTACTAGCTTTAAGGGCTTGTATGCTTTGCCAAACATTAGATAACTCCATGGTTGACTGAGTTTTTAACTCGTATGCATTTCTTATTCCCGTTATGTGGAGCTGACCTACATGATACAAATATTGGTTTTCATTAACCATGTTCTACTTCTTCTGCAGAACAGAGCTCCTTGCTTCTGGATTCCCAAAAGGTTGCTAATTATCAAGAGGTGTAACATTTTTTCTCCTGTTTATGTTTTGATTTCTGGTATTTAAATGCCTCATTTTGTTCAAGTACAGAGAAATGACACTTCTGAAAAGGTAAAGAAAGTTTCATCAATTGGCAAGGACGAAGAAACAAATAAGAACGTGAGCTGTGACTTTCCTTTAAATTTCCTTGTATTTAGACAGGAAGCTTTCCCTTTCCTTTCCTTTTCACATGACTAAGGTCTCTCTGTCGCCATACTAGATGTCTGTCAGTGAACTTATACAAGAATATGAGTCTTGTAATTCAAACGTATGGAACAGCCAAAAAGAGAGACGCACAAAATCTTTGAAGCATATTTCTCCTGCAAACTTTACGAAAGAGGTATAATAGCTTGAATGGAGAAGCCTTCTAAAACTGCACTCATCATATTTATATCCTCGCCTGCCACTGATGTCGCTAGCTTTCTGATTTCAGGCCCGTCGTCTTGTTCCCAAGGTACTTATCCAGAAGATTACATCACTCAACAGCCTAGATATGGAGCTTTATAATTATGGCCGGAGCATCTTCTTGAAGCAACAGGCACGTGTGTTGCAGAACATTGTTGATACAGTAAGTTACAACCTTACTAAATCTGTGGTTACCATGCAACGTGCATATGTTTTGCTCCCATAGATCTTCGGTGCTTTATATTACTGGTAGATTACAAGGCAGAGAATTTTCTATGGCATGTTTGGTACATTGACAAATTTTGTTATGCATCTCTCCTCTTTAAACAGAATAGGAAGGAAATAAATTTCCCCATTCATGTATACTAATGTCTTTCATTTTAGAGTAATAATTAGATATTATTTAGAATCATTTAACATAAAGAAAAGTATAAAATCTAACATGCACATTGAGTTGATATAAGTTAAGGGCTAGTTTGGCATGGTAGAGCTTTCCGAATAAATCACCTTGAGTCAACTTTCTCTAAAAACTCTTTTAACCCAAGAAAGTACTTCAAGAAAATTATTGAAATGAGTTTCAAATCATCTTCTAAGTCTCGGAAGTTGGAATTTTGAAAATCCCTACCAGATAGGCCCTAATATGCACATATCGAAGCCTATAATGTAATTTCTCTTTAGCATTCTCTTATTGCGTTCCTTTAAACACTGGACTATTATCTCATGACGGTTTCATCGTGTTTTTTAACTGCAGAAGAAGCAAGAAACAACACTTACTGAGAGCGCATACATTATGTCATACGGCTCCCCCTCTTGGAAAGTCCTTTCCTTGGGCACCGCCGGTCTCTTATAGGCCCTAATATGCACATATCGAAGCCTATAATGTAATTTCTCTTTAGCATTCTCTTATTGCGTTCCTTTAAACACTGGACTATTATCTCATGACGGTTTCATCGTGTTTTTTAACTGCAGAAGAAGCAAGAAACAACACTTACTGAGAGCGCATACATTATGTCATACGGCTCCCCCTCTTGGAAAGTCCTTTCCTTGGGCACCGCCGGTCTCTTATTTTCTCTCTTCATTTTTCTGTCAAGAAGAAGAACGTCGAAAATCAAACTGTAAATGTAATTTTAACTACAGTTTAAGTGATATATACACAAGTTCAGATTTAACAGAGAAACAAATGCAAAATCAGTCAAAAAAAGGTTACCAAGCTCTGATGAAAAGTGCTGAGATTTTTAACACAGATACTCAACAATACTAAGGCGAATAGGTGGCTTAGGTCTTGACTCGTACACATTTTAGACGCATGTATATTGCTGGAGATAACAGGTCTTCTATTTTTTCGTACAAACTGTAATTCTTCATGTGATTTATATGTTCATGAAAATTGATGTTCTTACATAAATTCGGAATTCCCACCTCCGCAACTCTGTTTTCCAGCCAGTGCGGTCCCCTCGCCCCGACAGCTCGACCCCTCGTTCTACCCATCTGGATCATCCACTCCCACTCTCGTCGCCATGTTCATCCCTATCCTTATGGGCCTCTCTTCCCCACCACTTCACAGATTTTCTTCCATTTTTTTGCTTAATGTGAAACTTCATCTTACAGAATAATTCTTATCTCCACTGACCCCTCGCCCGGGAGTGGCTCATTATGGGCTGCCCTGGGGACTAGGCACAGCTCGACACAGATTGCTTAGACTGGTGTGCCGAGTCTGGTTGACCCGACTTGACATGCCTTAACACCTATAGCCTCCCCTGAGAAGCATGAGATGACTTTCCACTATAGTACATGCTTGATTTAAATCACCTAAATCTTTACTTGGACTCGTTCTCACTTTGAAATATTTCTTGTGTAATCTTTCATTGGAGGTTCACTTAAGCCCCTGTTTGATTCCCGTGATATTACATTCTATTTCTCTTTCTTATTTTTAATCACACAATTTTCCATAAAAAAATATTACATATAAATCAAAAAAATTTCGTTCTTTTTCAATCACTCATTTTTTCAACAAAACATTATTCCTCCCATTTTCATTACTAAAAATGGAGGCCAAACGGGGGGATATATTTCATCTTGACTATGCTACACATCCATTGATGGATCAATATGACCTAAATTTTCTTACTTGTTTTATATCCTTTCGAGCTGTTTTCATTTTTTTTTCATCGTTTGTATTTTCCATCTATTCTTAAATTCGTTGTCCAAAATATTTACCACAAAAATGGTCCAATATAGAGAAGAATGTTGCTCGTCACATGAATGATGGACGGAGAGTTCATTTTGCATGTCTTTTGATGCCCATACAGGGACGGATCCAGGATTGAATTCAAGACCAGGCTACAAAATTTCAAACTGGGCTACTACGTCGAAAAAAAAAATTTTACACATAAAAAACTGGTCTTTTACCAAAATAAAAATAAAAAAAGTACCTTAAAAAAGCTCTTAGACTTGAGTGTGGGGGGCTACAGCCCAACCCAGCCCCCCCTAAATTCGTCTCTGTACCCATAGTTTACAGTTTCAAATAGAAATATTACCAGAATTACCCTAACAGGCATCCATTGAACACTGTCTCCTCGTGCCTGGTGCTCATCTTGTTGCTGCATTATCATAGTGAACAATGCTACACATACTGAATTTTTTATCGAAACTTTTACCTAATGCTCACAACATGAATGGGAATCACATGTCGGCATTTTTAAAGTCACGCGGGGTCCGCATACATTGTGAGAGGGAGGACACCATTTTGTACCCCCATTTGATAAATATGGAATAATCCTATTATAGTTATCATTTGCCGTGTCAAGAAATCGATTAAATTGGTGGATGTGTTTCATCTTCTCTCCACAAATCACTGCGTCGCCAGCATTCGATTGTGTCTTTGATGACATCTTGACCAGCATTTTTTATACCAGATGATGTAGCGGAATCGATGATTCTTTCAAATGCCAATTTGGATCAAAATTGGAGATTGAGTCTCACAATTGTAATTTTTATTAATTCATCAAAGTCCATCCAACAAAGACGTGCGGCAGCCTTTAAAAACATAAACCTTGTGAGAAACTAATGATAATGATAATTGTTGCAATCCTACTCCAACAATTCCTAAGGTCCAATTGGAATAATAAAAAATTAAGAGCCAATTTTACGGTTTAACCAGTTTGGAACTCTTCTCTTTTTCAAAAAAAAATGTTGGACCTTTCTATGTGTACAGAAAGTCTTTTCACGGAAATGCAACAGAAAACTCACCGCAAGGTGGGTGGGGTGATTTTTTTGCCTTTTTTAATCATCATATGGGATCCACACATGTGATACTTCTAACCTACTTCTGTAATACAGTAATCTGTACATGCAGAATTATTCAAAATTGTTTAGTTTAGGTTGCATAACATTATATTTGAACTTGGGACCCCAAGTAATATTTTGTACATTTTTTATTTTAAAAATATTTTCCTGTTAATTTATATCAAGTAGGTTGAACTATTAACTTGAATCAACAACGTTGAATTTATCCAAACCAATCAAACAGATTTTTGTCTCCGTGGAAAGAGTACAAATGGCATTTGTCGTGGAACTATGTCCTTCATAAAGAGTCCATTTACGAAGGATGCATTAGGCCATGGCTGGCTGGCTGGCTGGCATGGGACTGCATAATGTAGAGTCCTTATTGTATCTACTTGCGAGTAAAGACAGGACCACCTACAAAAAGCCACCTACATATAATGTTCGATCATTAATTATAATTGCTTTTCCGATTATTTTGTAAATGACTTATGGGGGATGTCTGTATCAATGTCCTCCCATCACCAACCACTTTTAATTAATTTCTGTTTTGTCGTTTTCTAAATTTGTAAGAATTTTAAAGTGAGGATTTATTTTTTCTTATTTGTTTTTTTTCACATTAATTGACTTGGGCAAAATGTTAAATTTAACTGGGGTGCAAAGTTTGATATAAATTAAAAAATTGACTCCACATTGATCAAAATTTGTTAATTTTAGACTATAACATGACATCTGCGTATGACACTCAACAAAACTTTTCTCGATTTGAGACTTGCGTCTTTGTGTTATATGTTAATCAATATAATATTTTTCACAAATATTTATAAATTGTCAAACTTCATTTTTAACTACACATTGAAATAAATCCATGAGTACTATTCAATTATCTATCACTCATTTATATTTACTAGTCAGAGTTTAACGTGCATTGCACGTTATTCTAAAATAATTTATAGGTGTTATAAAAGTAATACTTGATACCAACTTGTTGAGAGGATTTGAAGAGTCTCAAACAAATTTAAGAAAAATAAAATTTAGGATAAAAATTTAAGAGAAAAAATTGTACTCTCAAAACTCAACTTTTATGATTCAAATATTTTTATGATGATGAAATATTACAAATAAGTAATATTTTTATATTATATTTGGTACATAAGAATTAATTGCTACTACATAAATTTAAACACTCATTAAAATTTTTAAATACATAAATAGAAATAAATTCATCTATAATAACTCTAGATTTATATAGATCAACATTTATCAAGTCAAGATTCATTGAGTTTAGATTAATGTGGATCTTAATTAAATGAAAATTAATGAAACGAAATTCATAAGGAATTTGTAGCATTTATTACATATTGAAAAACAAAGAGTAATGAATTATTGAAATAAGTGAATTATAGTAGTGTTAAAATCGTCCAAAAAATAATTCTCACTTGATGTAATATTTATATGTATTAGTCAGAGTTGAATGTGTATTGAACATTATTCTAAAATACTTTATAGGTTCTGTAAAAGTAATATTTGATACCAATTTGTTGGGTGGATTTGATGAGTCTTAAATAAACTAAAGAAAAATAAAATTTAGGATAAAAATTTGAAAGAAGAAAATTGTACTCTCAAAACTATAAACCCCTCTTTGGCTCTCTTTAAAACTCATCTATTTAATTTAAATTTTTCTTTCTCTTGTTTTTAACCACACAATCTTTAATAAAATAATATTTCATACAAATCGAAAACTTTTTATTCTTTTAAAACCATGAATTTTTTTTAAAAAAATACTATTCCCTCATTATAAATCCAAATAATAGGGGGCTAAATGGGAGGGGGGGGGGGTAAATTTCTATGATTCAATTTTTTCGTGATGATGAAATAGTATTACAAATCAACAACTTTTTTATACTAGTATTTGGTACATAAGAAATAATTGATATTACATGAATTTAAAGGCCTACTAAAATTTCTAGATACGTGAATAGAAATAAATTCATATATAATAAATTTAGATTCATCAAGTCTAGATCAACATAAATGTTAATTGTTAAGTAATTGAGAATTAATAACAAGAAATTCGTACATAACAAGGACTTTGTAATATTTATTACATATTAAAAAAAAGTTATTATTGAAACAATTGAATTATAGTAGAGTTAAAATTGTCGAAAAAATGATTATCACTTGATGTGATATTTAATATTTTATAGATTAATTATGTTAATTAACTAATCAATGTATTATAGATTTACAAAATAAATCATTTGTAATTTCCAAACAATAATTTTTATTTTTTTTAAACTAGCCAAAAAAAAAAAAAAGGCACAATGCCCAACAAACATATATATACTTTGGTAGTGGTGAAAATTAATAACTGGAAAACAGACAATAATTTGTGAAGGATTCAGAAATGATTCGCAACCTTTACTACTGCCTACTCTCCTGTTTGCCGGACTATAATAATTGCATGGACTACCCAATCTGCCTATTACTCTCGATTCAGTCTTCATTCCTGCTAAGCTTTGACGTTTTCAATTTTCATATTGAAATTTAGCTTTGTCTGTGCTGTCT